ATACGAAACTAATGAAGTAAGGAAACAAACAATAGGTATTCTAAGATATACATTTCGTATCAATTTCTTTTGATGTTCCCACCTTTTCCCGCCATATGTGTTTTTGTGCAGTCTGGTTCCAATCTATTATCAATAAGAGTCGGTTCTGTTTTGTTGGTCTTACGAAACTGTTCTCCAAAACAATCATGTTTCAGAGATCCGTGGTTACCTCATACACTGAATCACAATACAATTTCTACTAATTCTAGAAATAAAAGTGTACATAGCTTATTCTCAGACAGTCCTATACTAGAATACTAGTTTTAAAAATGACTAATATAATACCGAAATTAAAACCGAAGCGCACTTGAAGGCGTTCACACTTTTCATCACGCAAAGTAGTCAAGCGCTTTTTTTCACTATTTGATAGGACCATACTTAATATAATATTAACATAACATCAAAGTGACTCTGTCCTGGCCTCGGAAAATTAAAATGGCTTCCAGAGTAGCAATTATGTGTCGGACTACAGCTCATCGTCGTGAGCCAACTGAATTTCAAACTAGAAACCATCCATGAAGCATGTTTTGTCAGAAATTTAAACTATGAAAAAATATTCTGTATTCGAGACATGTATCTGAGAGCAGTTTTAGTCTAGAAAGAACCGACAGAAGTTCCGTATTCTATTAGATAATAACAAGTAAATTGTTATTTCACACCTTTATTTTATAGGGTGCATAACATTATTAAATATTTTCAAAAACTGTTTACATACAACTGAAGAGTTTCCAAATGTACCCAGTTCCGGCTCTTGATATTTGAGTTAAAGTTACAATATGGTTAAATATCAAGTGCAAGGGTATAAACTAATCAAAGAGTGCTTGGTAGGAATCTTGTGAAACAAATTATCAGGCAACTACATGTACCATCACAATTGTGTAGAGATTGTTTCCAGATCAGCCTAAACCATCTATATCACGATCTTTAACGACCGAGTCTCCTTAATTAGACTAATTGAATTTGCAAAAGGCAAATAAAAGTGAGTTTTTGTTAAATATATTCCCTGTTCATCGATTGAAACCCATTTGTCAGGATGGTTTGCATCAATGCTTTACTGAATAGTTTTTTCTAGTGATAATTAATATTTCTGAAATAGAAGCAGCCTAATATTTCATTTTCTTTATTTTCAACAGAAATAGTTTACAATGTATTATAGTATATAATGTATTTCTATCGAGTAATTTATCTATGTAATAACTAGTTTTTCTATCTATATATCTTTGACATCTGGTAGAGAGGTGATGGGTGGCTCGGTACCTGACAGATCACATGACGTCATCAGGGGTCAGTATACTGGTAATTGAGCACTGTTTATGGAAGAGATGATAGAGAAAATAGCAACCATTTTATCGTAAAAATAGAATTTTGATTCACCAGCTGTTGCCAACATGTGCCTTAATGGTAATCTTTATAGTATGCATGTTTCCAACCAATTTTCATTGTTCGAGGTAATAAAACCATTATTTTTACGTAAGTTTTGAAGATGTGATTTAGAGGGTGAGGCCACCAAGTAGTAACATCTTTTTCGAATTCCCATTGCACTTTTCAAGACCTGAAATTCGGTATCATGGATAACAGGACCATCGCAATACATGATAACGATCAATTGCCTTTTCACATCTTAAACAGCTCATGAAACCTTTCAGAATTAAAATTCCGTCGTCATGTTCTTTGAAACAAAAGCTTACCTTATAGCTTAGTTTATTATAGACAATATTATTTTGAAATATATCGTTCAGACACTTTGGATACATTGCATTTCCACCAAAAGGAATAAAAACGCATTCATGGTGGGCTAATATAAATAATCGCATACATGATACAAGACAAGTGAAACAAGTAACCTTCACATTGTATTATTCAACCTTACTCCAACCCACAATAGATTCCTCTCTTTTAAATGGCGGTCTGTAAGTTTCTATTGTTGGGAACTACTGGGACTTCTATGTAAATTGTTAAACCCCCGATATGCACTTACGGTCTTGTTTGCTTAGGGCTGATTTATAAACCGACGTAAAGTGAGACGGAAAATACACTTAATTTACAAACATTTTTCTGCCCTGTTACATAGGAGAGGTTGAAATGCATATATCTTTAATTTTGGACACAAATTTTATGATAACCAAAGAAATAAAGTCACTAGCCTTAAGTAAAATGGTATGAGGACAAAAAACCTAAATGCCACATACTTTGTGAATTCATGCATACTCTTGAATTCTATTTATTGGCAGCAATGAATAGTGTAGCACATGGAAATATATCTAGTGAAATGTATCTTTTATTTATCTAAGAACA